ACAGTGAGTGTATGATAGGTAACAATGGGGTTGCGGTGCACGAGCTGTTGATTTTTCACATTTATTGTTGACTTATTTCTGTCCCATTCTGTAACTGTGACTGAAGAATGATTCATATTTTTATTGCTGTGGTTAGTCAGCTTAAGGAAACTTAGTTAAAGAGCTATAACCTATTTTTTCTGCCAGGACTGGCCTTCCATATAAACCATAATTTACCTTCTTGCCATGCTTACACTGATGTTTTCCTGTTTTGGTTTCAGGGAAAAGGAATGGCAGTGATATGATGTGGAAAACTTTTTGCTGATTTTTAGTTACACACTTTATCAACTGCACAGCTCAAAGTACTGAAGCAATATAGCAGCAATAAAAACACTGATTGGAGCATCAGTCATACTCCTCACATCCAATGAAACTGATTCAGACAAGCAATCCATCTCCTTCAGTGTCAGCCTTCACACAAAATGTGACACTTACAGCCTGTAAATCACCCTGAAATAGCTTTGATTTCACAGGCACTAACTCCAGCCAACAACAATGAATATTCTTCAGACTACAACAGCATTTTTGTATCCACTGACCCTCTTGCTGGTTCATTCTGGGCATTTTAGGTCTATTTATTTGATCTTGTTTCTGTGTAAAAAAAAAAGAAAAAAGAAAGAAAGTCAGATGTTCTTGTGTTTTATTGGTGAAGGTTGTCTAGACTTGGCTGCACTTGTATTGTCAGGCTTTTACAAAAACAATTACGACACTGTTTAAAGCCTTAATTTGGGGTCGTGGCTTTGGGGTATTTACATAAGTTTATTCATTGTTGTGACGATTTGATTAAAGGCAAAAAAAAATCCAGGATTGCCATGTGTTTTCATTTAAACATTACAATGTAAACTCAACTTTTATATTTTGAAATGCATTCAAAATGTCCATGTTTGTGAGCGCTGTCAGTCAATTTTGAAGTGAATCATGTTTCCAAATCACCTTTTCCAGACTCTAAAGTACTTCCATCTTGTTTACTTTAGGACTGTAGATTTATACCATTTTTAAAAAAAGCCATAACAATGAAATGAAAACAACCTGACCAAATTTCTATATGTGGGTCCAAATCTATTCATATTGCATGGCATATGGACTGAATGTGCTTTTGGAATGTTTTCTAAATTATCCTCTTTCCATTCAGTGATGTTTGGAGATCACATTTCCAGAAAATCAGCTTGCATGAGGAAAAAATAATTGGAACCAGATAACTTCATGTTTTGGGAATTTAGATGAGGACTGAAATCACCAACACATCACAAGAAATTCTTTAACTCCCTCATCAGAACAGAAGAGAGATTAATATTTCATACTGGGGAAATATGCTAGCCCCAATCACTCCTAATCCCAAACCATTAGCTAGAAATCTAATAAGCATTGGTGGCTAAACATTTGATGCATCAGCTATTCATCAGTGCAAAAAATAAAATTTAAATAAAAATCCATTTCCTGTCATGCTTCTTATTCACAGTGGACATTCCCATTGCAATGAGAAATTCCTCTATTCTACTTCCAAGGTGAGCACACAGTGAAGGACCCAGCCATCCATGGAAGCTTTTAATCAAAAACCATTTCTCCTGAGCTGATCAACACGTGGCTGTAAAGAAGCTTTCATGTGCCCACAAAACTACACATACCAGGAAACACATTACTCTCCCCAGCTGGGTACACACATGAAACTTCAAAGGGTACCATAGCACTGTCAGCAACATCATTATATACTGACTGTGCACGAGGAAACCTTCTAGAAGATTTCTGTTGGTTCTGTGAAATAAGATTATCTGCTATGTATGACATGGGAAATTTTATGTTGAACTTAAACTGGTGAACTGTTGAACTAATTGTCAGATAAATTAGGTCAGTGCTTGCTGAAAGTCATTGCAGTTAGGTAGCCTAATTTCCAGTAATCTACCTTTGTAGGCATAATATTTATATGACCCTGATTTATCATGCATTTTAGATGTGGTTTGGTTTAGCTTGTGAAATATACTTAGACTTCTCCGGATGCTTTAGCCATCATAGCTTAGCATGATTTAATTTATACAAAGAACTCATGCAGTCTCAAGAACTCACACTCTCTGTACTTTGATTTCATTGGAGTTGCACATAAGAAAGTCCAGAATGAAAGGTCCCCTGAAGCGCCGTAGTCCAAAAATGCTGGTTTTGAGGAAGGGAACCATTTTGATTTTACAAATAAAACCACCAAAACCAGTTTTCATTTTAGGTTTTGACATCTAGTTATTATTGGCAAATGTGTGCCACCAAAGGAGTCTTTTTCTGTTTGAAGTCCTTAATTGAAAATTGGGCATGCATTAGCAGAATGCTTTATGCAAGAAAGGAAACAGAAAAAAACTAACAAATATCAAACAAACAAATTTCTTTTGATCAGCATAACCAAGCTTTATGGGAGCTATTTAAAAAATCATTTGTGTATCTTAGCTTCACTTTAGATTCTTAAACCT